TAGGCTTTGTGAAGGTGGTCCCCTAAAGCAAGCCCTCCCCCTCCTTCCTAGTCTTTTTTTATTTCTAGCTCTCAAAAATTTCCATTATAATCCGCAGCTGTCTGGGGCAGCCGTGCAGCGCTGACTAGCTCCAGCTCTGCCCAACAAACTGAGGCCAGGCTGGCTTGGGCTTTGGACCCAGCAGCCGCCCGTGGGCACCGAGTTCTTTCCCACCGCAGCAACGCCCACCTGCCTTTTCTGCTCTTGCACCTGCTGTGGGTTGTTTCTTCTTGAACTTCAGAAATCAACTACTGTAGTTGCCTAAGAATTAGTCTCGCAACAGTGCTCACAGGCTACTACGTACTGCTTCCTCTCTGTCCTCTCCTCTCTCTCTCCCTCTCTCCCCCTCTGTCTTTCATTCCCCTCTCCCCCTCCTTCTTCCTCCCTCTCACTAGAGAGTTGAGTTCCCTATTTGAAATGGTGCAGCTAATACAAAGTCATCAAAGCACTATGGTTCTTGTCTTAAAGTGACAGCTCGCTTTATGGGGCTGTTTTAAATACTCCCCCTGCTTTTCAATGTCTCTCTATCCATCTTTGTCTGCTCTTCAGAAAAGGGGACAATATAAAGCCCAGCCTGGCGAGCTCCCCATGCTCAGGCCTGGGCAGTGCCAACCTCCGCCTTTAAGCAGATTGAAATTGTCACTGTTTCATTAATCTGAAACTAGTTACTTTCCTAAGCACACAGCACACACTTCCGATTTGCCAGGATTCACTCAGAGGAGCCCCTGGGGCTTTCCTGGGTTTGGGATTTGGAAGGCTCAACAAAGGTACTACAGGGTTCAAGGGAACATAAGGCTCAGCTAAAAGAAAGCTGAGAAAGAAAGGCAGTGCCCGGTGGAGAAGGCCGCCACTGCCTTCAGTATATAAGGCAGCACAAGGCCTCATTCTCAGAGACAATGGGATACCCAGAGTTTTGGAGGATTCGCTTGAGTTTCAGGAGTCTATTCTGATGGGAACAGATAAGGATGTCTCTTTGCTTCATGTGGCTTACCAATGAGGACTGCAAGGTCTTATAAGTTTGGATTTTCTTTCTCCAGATAAAAGAAACTTGCATTAGTATTTCTTAGGAAGCTGGATTGTTGTTTTATAGTTTTTGGTTTTTGTGTATTCATCTGAGCTCTGATTTCCTAGGAGAGCTGCGTTTCTGTTCTTCTTTGGCCCCTGTTATCAGCTCCACGAGCCAGGGCTTTGAGTGTGGGAGCTTTCCATGACACACGCTGCCTCTTTCTTTTCATACAAAAGACAATACAAAAGATGCTTCTACTTTTTATATTTCCAGCTGTCTCAGAATAGCACGTTTTTTAGATTCCATTCCATGTAATTTAGGGAAGAGCCGTGGGCATTTTGTAAAGAGAAGCTCAATTTTCAGTAATGTGAGCCTAAAGATTTATAAAATAGATTTATATTAAATTATGTTAATAGAAGCCTAGTAAATGTACCAATTAATTGCATGGAAAAATGTTCCTTTTTAAAAGGTCTGTCACCTTAACAGGTACATTCAAAGATTCCAGTGAATAATGAAGATAGAACAATTGCTTTGATGCACTGAGCTGCATTCATCGACTAGGACAGCTTTGGCTGTGTTTGGAGAAGATGGGAGGAGCTCCTTTTCAGGGAGTGATTGCTCCTTTAAACCTAGTTTCTTCTAGCAAATAGTTCCCTTGGAAGAGTGTGTCACTCCTTCTCTGTCCTAGGCTGGGCTGAGCTCTCTCCAACTCCAAGCTCTCCTCCCTCTCCCCTGATGCTCATAGGGTTTCTCCTTGTCCTGGCTACTGGTGCCTTTCCATCTGCCTCAAAGAGCCCTCTCAAGAAATGCCACAAAAGGTGAATGAAACCTGCAAGAAAGGTAGAAGTTGGCAGCAAAAAGGAAAAACCTACTGAAAATTACTCTTTCCACCTATAAGACCACCACCAGTTTGTTTGTTCCCTACTCTTCTCCAGTCCCCAAACTCATATGTACACGTGCATGACACACATCTACACAGTTCACATGTACACACAGTCCCAATGCCCCCCCCCACTTGCCATGGCCATTTTTAGTAAAACAACACCTTTCTGGCATCGTCTAACCAGTCATAGTGGCTCAAATAGAGTGCATGATCCTAGTCAGATATAATTGGACAGAACTGGCCTGGAGTTAGGGGAAGAGAAAGACAGAGAGTATCAAAAACTGAAAACTTCACAAACATTAAAATGGGAGGGAGATGCTCAGCCTGCAAGAAGAATCCTGGAGAGGAAAAATCTACGGAGGCGAAGTATCCATCCTCTAGCTCACTGACTACCCCCAAACAGGCTACTGGGTTCCTTCTGCCTTTGCCCTTTGTTAAGATTAAGAAGTCTTGCCCGGGGCCACTGTCCCTTGGACTCGGGCACGTGTTGGTCACTGAGTGGGAGGGTAGAGGGGAAAGGTCTCTGATCTTCCTCTCCACTCTGAATGTCTGGGCTGTGCCAGGGCCTAGAGGTGAGAGGTGAGAGGTCATACTTTCAGCCTTCTACCCAACCCCCAGTGCTTTCTCTATTTAAAGTTCTTACTTTAAATAGACTTGTTCTCAGATGGGGACTTAGCCAGGCACACTAATTGTTCCTGTGGTTCACCCCTTTTCCCTTGGCAGCGTAAGTTCTTGGGTTCTAGTTCTCACTTTTGATGTTTTTCTCTCCCCTTTACATATTTTAAGACTCTACAAGGTCTTGTACTGGGTGAAAAGTGTTCTGTTTCTCTTTTCAAGCAGAACCCAGGGTTTCCAATTAGCCATGGTGGTGACCCTTTATATCTGAAATCTTCTTCTTGTTGACCTATGGAAAAATGCCACTTGGATTGTTTACCTAAAGTGACTTAGCAGATTATTTGTGTTACTGAATTTGTATGTTTATTGGTTTGTATCTTATTGGTTTAAGTATTCACCAGTGTGAAACTATAATGGATCTTTGCAATCAAACTCCAGATTTGTGATTTTCTTTTAGGGAGGGGTCAGGAAGGATGTAAAAATCTATCCTGATAATGTAAGAAAACACATGCTCCCCTCCAAAAGTGATTTTTAAAAAAGCCACCCCAAGGAGAAGGAGGATCTCTCTGGGAACCTCAGAGAAGTTTTCTTTATTTGGAGGACATTCCAGTCAGAGATAGCTATCTTTGCTTGAATCATTTTGCCAGTGGAGAGCACTATATTGTCTATTGTCTCTTCAGGGACCAGACCATGTTAGCAGGCCAAAAGCAGCCTTCGAGGGCTGGTGCACAGGTCTCTTTGTCAGGTGGCAGAGCAGGGCCTGGAGGACAGCCTAGCATAACAAGTGCGCTGCTCCTCAGTCTGAGCTCCAGGCCTGGGTGCAGACCAGTCCTGAACTTGAGAAGGGCCAACAGGAGCACAGGGCGGTCAGGGGTCTGTGCGGCTATGCAAGGGAAGGGGGCGGAGAGGTCTGCCCACAGCCCAGATCAAGCTTTGCCGTAGGCTGGATTGTGGAGAGCAGCAGCAGCAGGGGCTTTTTGTCCTTTTGGATTTTCCCCGTGAAGGAATTATTCTTAAGTGCCTGTTTTTTGCGCCTGCAAATTCCCTTCCTCCCAACCTCTGTTCTTTCTTGAAGAAAGGCCTGTTTCTTGCGGAAAAAAGGAATCAAGATCTTTAGCAAAGGTGGCACATCCATGTCTCTTTTTCGAAGCAAGCTGCACGAGGGGCCTTGTGTGAGAGGCTAGAGGACAGAGATCTAGAGGTGAAAGCTTCCCCAGACTCTGGCAGGCAGGAAGGAGCCAAGAACCTAGGCGCACTGTGTTAGACAAGCCCAGCTCACTGCCCAAGTGCAGGCAGCCCTGGGTTTAGCAGAACTCCTGCCCCAGAAGACAGTGCCCAAGACACCTCCTGTGCCCAACAGAGAGTCTGGAAACAGGATCCTTTCTCTCCCTCCCCCTCCTTGGAGGGAGGAGATAGAAACTCAAGGCCATGTTCTCCTTCTTTTCTCCTCTTTAAGTTTCCAGTTTTAGAAGCTCAGAGTCTCCTGGTAATGTTTCAGTTAGGATATAAAGTAAATCAAACCAAAAGAATTGTTGTGGGGGCCACGGACTTAGCTCAGTGGCTCAAGCACTTGCCTGGTAAAGCACAAGGTCATAAATGTCACCCCTGTTGCCATAATGTGAACAATACCCATGGCTTGAACTAGTTGGGTAGCATTTTTATGGAAAGTAATCAGAAATCTTACCCACCTGTGGGTGCTAGGGGGACTCAGATCTCCTAGTTTCTAACTGTATCACATCTTGCCCTTAGACACAGGCCACACTGCTGGGGGAGAAGGGGTGTTGGAGGAAGAGTTAAGTACTCCTCACCCAGCCCTGGGAAGGGAGGGACAGAAGTGGGCCAACAAACAAACCCAAGAAAGAGTTCAAAGCATCTCTGGGCTGTTCCAGAAATATGAAATTGTAGCTCTTTAGGCAAAATATTCCCTTGTCCGTCAGTTTCAAGGGGAAACCCAGAATATTAAGCTTTTTAGTCACCTGTGGTATCATCTGTATGTTTCCTCATCCTCACTTGGGACTCCTTGGGTGGGTTGTTGCTATGCCAACGCCCACTGCAACAATACCAGTTTCTTCGCATAACTTAGGTTTTAGCACTCAGAGAAATGAGAAAGAAGAAAATGAATACTAGGGAGGGGATTTTTTCACCTTTTCTTGCCAAAGGAAATATTCACCTGTCATTACTGTTACTGTTGCTCTAAATGGAAAGAAGTTGTCCTTCTGGGATGAGGAAGCCACCTGTTCTGAGTGCTGGGTGCCCCTAGTAAGGGCATCAGGACTGACAGTGTCTTCCTGACAGATGCTTCTGTTGCACAGAAAACCTTGAAAGCCACAGGCCCCCTCAGCAAGAAACCCACACCCCCAAGCTGCAGCGCACTTTCCTCTCAGGCCACAGGCTCTTTCTTCCTGTCAGTGTCTTTCTCTAGCCGTGCAAGAAGGGACAACAGGAGGAGAACAAACATCACAAATTTAAAATCCTGTATTTTATTTGTTTAAATAAATATAAATATAAATTTTATATAAAACTATTCACATACGAAGGGACTTCCAGCGACTTGGATTTAAATTTTTCCCCGGGCGAATTTTCAGAATGCAAGACCCTCAGGATTTAATTTTCTAAGTTGTTCACAACTTCAGTGGTTTCACTTCAAAATAACTATGTAAAAACTGAAGGAAGCCCCCGTGCGCTCACCAAGTTCAGAAAGATGGGTGGAGACATGACATGCGCTTTCAAAAACCCCATAGAGTGTTAAACTTAAAACAACCCTGTTATTTCTCTGTTACGTAAGACAGTTGGAGTCTAGATTATTTACATTTTTTTTAAAAAACTATCTATAACTCCGAATGGGGCTCTAAATAAAAAGCTCAGGAAGAGGATGTGGTGAGTGAGGCCCCGCCCTGAATTCCCCAGGACCCCCGGCCAGCTCCTTCTGCACTTGTGAGAAAGGGGATGAAGGCGACTGGAGAGACTTTTGGTCCCTAAATGCCCCAATTTGGCATTGTGGGGTTGGGGTGGGGACTGCCAGAATCAAAGGTTTGAGGGGGGTGGGCCCCTCATAAGGGGGAAATCTCCTTGTCATCGTTAGGGGATGCTGGTGACAAGGAGTCTTCATCCTCCGAGCGTGCATAGTGCGCTTGGCTACCGACGCATTTGCAGCCCGCGTGACTGTTTCTCTGGGTACCCTTCCCCTCCTTTTTGTGCTTCACCCGGCGGTTCTGAAACCAGATTTTCACCTGCTTCTCCGATAGGTTCAGGTAGGTAGCAATTTCGATCCTGCGGAGACGAGACAGGTACATGTTGGAGGAGAATTCCCGCTCCAGCTCCAGGAGCTGCGTGCTGGTGAACGCTGTTCTCATTCTCTTGCCGTTGGACACCTGGCTGGTGTCCGAACCTCCTGCGGGCGTCAGGGAGAGAAGAGGAAAGAAGACAGGAGGGTGAGAGAGGAGAGATGAGCGCAGGCAGGGGCTCTCCCCGCACTGCCATGCCCTCAGAAGGACGCATCTCAAGGACCCAGCCAATCTAACCCCTTCGCTCTTTCCCGTCCCATGGCAAGTCTATGCTTATCGAGGAAGGGAAAAATCAGCGCTACGCAAGTTCTGGCCTTTGAGGAGCAGGACGCGAAGTTAGAAGATTAAAGAGGACTGTGAGCTTGCACCCGTCTCATCCACTCCCGAGAGGCGTGCACCCCAGCCCAAAGCACTGGGACTTTTAATCAGCCTCAACGCGGGATGTCACACTCAGGTTCGAACACACGCACCCTAAACCTGAGCCAGTTAACCTACATTTACTACGCAGTCCTGTTCGTGTCCCCAAGGCACTGATAGTGCGCGGCAGACGCGCAACTGCAGAACGAAGCGCAGCAGGCTGTGTGGACAGCTTGGCGAGCTACTTTCCACCTTCGTGAAATTGCTGGGGGAGGATTCCATAATTACTCCTTCCTCCCCGCCCCTCCCCCGAGCTCCCACTTCCTCCACTGGGGGCACAAAGTTTGTTCCTGAGTGCGCAAAAGGCGAAGCGCGCAGGTGCCTGGAGACCCCGCCCTACCCATGGTGAGGCAGTGGAACCTCCGCGGATCTGCCACGTTGTAGGTGGTGGCTGCGCAAACAGGTGCGTGGTGCTGCGGGTGCCCCAAGGCTGCGGCCGCTGCAGCCGCTGCTGCCGCCGCCGCCGCAGCCGAAGCGGGCTGCTGGGGCTGATGATGATGATGGTGCGCGTGGCTCACCCGCGGGCAAAACTGCGCGTCGCCGGGGCCCGAAGAGAACTGGCTCTTGAGCAGAGGCAAGGTCCCGGTGCCCCCCGTCGCCCCGCTGCCCCCGACCCCTGCATCCCCAGCCCCTGAGCCTCCGCCACCAGCGCCCGCGGGCGCGCGAGAGGAGTGCAGGTGCGAAGTGACGCAGAGCGGGCACACGCAGAAAGCGCCGCTTTTGCGGGACGGGCAGCCGGGCCCGGACACCGACATCACCAACGGGGATGGCATGCCCAGCGGGATGAAGAAATCCGGGCCCGGGTGCGGTTCGGGCAGCGGGGGCGCGGGCCGTGAGGAGTCCTTGATGATGAGCGAGTCGACATAGAAGGAGCGCGACATGTCGGGAGGGACCGATGGCTGCAGGCCCGCCGGCCTGGGCACCCCTCCCCTGCGGTGTCCCGAGCTCTGCCCCGGAGGCGCCGACGCGGGCGGGCAAGCCCTTGGGGAGGCGGAGGTGTCGGCGTCTGGGCCGCGAACAAAGGGGTCCCGAGAGAGGGCTGGTCCTCACGTCCCCCGCCCGGCGCCCCGGCTCCGGGATTTTATAGCCCCCACTCCGGCACGTGATGCTGCGGAACACCGCTCGGCTCCCGCGGCTCCGCGGCTCCCCACCCTCGGGATAGGCTGCCCGCGTCTCCGCGGAGCAGCGAGGAGGGGCGGGCGCGCGGCGGGGAGGAACGCGGGGGGAAGGGAGGGTCTGCAGGGGGGAGACTTTGCAAAGTGTAGGTTTTGTTAATTTCCCGGGGAGGGCGGCCTCCTCCTCCTCTTTCTCCATGCTTTCCCGAGAAATCACAGCTCAGCGCCTGTATCCTACAGCACCCTAGCCCAGAGCAGGCCCGACTGGTCTCCGCTCCCAGCCGCAGGGCTCACCAGGTGGGATGCTCAATGCTCTGGGCCCCGGTGCCAGGGTGTCTGCGGCGCAGTGAATTATGAGACCTGAGCTCTGGCACAGGGTTTGCGGGAGGTAGACTGGTAGCAGCGGTCTAGTCCTGAGAGTGGCTAGAGCTACGTTTACAGCTATCTGTTCCTGTCTCCCAGCTTTTGGAGTTAGCCAGTTCATGTGAGCGGTTCGTTCACAATGGGCCTGGGCAATGAACGGTGAGCCTTTGGCCCTCGAAGCCACCAAAAGTTTCATTATAAACTCGAAAAGAGCTAAAGTGCCTTTGTACTTAAGGCCCTCCTGGGAATAGGCAGACCTAGGACTCTTCTATTCTAATAGGCAGCTCCCTACCTAATAATTAGGAGGGAGGGAGAGAAAGAGATCGAGGTCTCAGCCTTTTTTCCAAGATTTGGAAACAGGATCCTAGGACCAAACACCTACCACGGGTTGGGGGATCTGTTCCTTTCATTTGCAGTCATCTTGGGCAGCTGATGAGGCTAACCGGGGAGCACTTTCCTTCTGTATCCCCAAACCCTAAAAAGGAGGAAGGGATGCAGGCAGCCACTCACAGAATCCTGCTTCTGGAAGGAAGAAGTGGTAAAGGAAATCTGCCTTGGTGCACACATTTGTGGGAACAGGTTCATGCTTCCAGCTAGAGACAGAGAGTGTGGATGGCGTGGCTGGGGCTCTGGATCCCAGGGAAAGACTGGGCACCGAGGTGACAGCTGTCTCTTTTTTTTCTACCCCTACAGAAAAGCAAGACTGAGCAACAGCTACAAGTCGGATCTTTCCCCCAGAATGACTAACTTCAGGCCTGCATTCATGAAAGTGCTAAAAATTTGAAGACAGGACTTGGATCACTTGAGGGAACAGAATGCCCCAAAACAGAAGAGCAGCACCGGCTGCAGGCACAGTTCTGTCTCTCCGTCTTCTGTCTTTCTTCCCCTTTCTATCTCTGTGACTATCTCTCTTGTCTGCTGGAGAAGTGTAATTGGGTTGTAGGGACGCCCCGCTCTGGGGAGCCCAGGATTTATGGATGGCAATTAAAGTTTTATGAATTGCAGCTGAGGCTGGTTATTGAGCTATTTGAATGTGATTAGAATTCAATTAGAAAGCGGTTAGTGGATGGTGGGTCTCCAGAGTGTAAACAGACAGCTATTCCAGAAATGTGCTAATCCAACATCTTGTGACAACAATTAGGGAGTCTGGGGCTTAACGTGGGGCGGCTCAGCTGTAACTACTTTTGTACCACAAGGTTGGCTGATGCAGCCTTTAGAGTCTCAGCCTCACCCCAGCCTGCACAGCCCAGTATAGCCAGGCCTTGTTTGGATAGCACCATCCAGGCAGTCCTCCACGCTACTCCAGCCCTGGGAAAAAGATTCGGAGTTCAATAATTGAGAGAGACTTTACAGCAAGGTGTTTTTTAAAAAGCCTAAATTGTCTAAATAATGGATAGATTCTCACCTCTTTGATTTTTTTTTTTTTTTTTTTTTGAGAGTAATCACTTGCTGCCTTTTTTCCTCTGGGTTAGGCAGATTATCCAGTCTGTTGGGGAGGGGGTGACACTTGTGTCACAATACTCCAAGAGGTTTTGGAGTATGTTCATCTGCTAATATGCTACAAATCTCGCTTGTGTGCAGATTGTTTTTCTTAGAAAGAATCTTAATTATGTAGTGGACTTGTGCATCTCCTTCAATTTATGTCTATGGAAATATTCAGTTCCAGTGCCAAGGTATTTTGAGAAAGGTGAAGGGCCCAGAGTTTGGGTTTTGTTTGTTTTTTCATTTGTGGCGTGGGGAGTGTGCAAGGGTTGCAGCTGCTTATACAACCAGACTGAGGCTGCACATAGGACTATTTTTGTCTGAGAAACTTGCTCATAGGGTTCCTGGTTAATTGCTTGGGCCCACCAAGAGCAAGTATTTTGGGATTGGGTCCCTGCATAGTCTATCCTCTTTTCTGTAGTTCTTTTCAGATCACCGTGCCTCCCTATCATTCTCTTGCCTCCTTGAATATAGACCAATTATCAGAAGCCAACCCTACCTACCCTGCAACACCCCCCCACCCCCTTACCCCCGCCCCCAGCCTACTATTCCCTGGCTTGACAGGACTGCCATTGGGCTGGCCCAGCCTGACTAGGGAGCATCGTGCCAAGCTGCTCAGAGCCTGTCCTCAGCCTTCTCCTAAGAGAGACCTGGTAGACTATCGGCGTGTGCCCACATTGCTTGCGCGGCTGCACAATTTTATTTCTCAGTGATTCTGTCCGATAAAATTTCATCGTCCATTAAGTAATCCCCAAAATGAGAGCTCTTATGAGCCTATAATGAGCTCTAATTGCCACGACTCAGGGAGCCACGTGGAAGGATTTATTTGGTATTAAGCAGTTGGGTACAGAGTACAGGCTGTTACCTAAGCCATTACTTTCATAATTCAAGGAGAAAATTAGTTCTTTCTAAAGGGAGGGGTAAATCCTTTGATTTCCTCCCTCTCTTCAGGATGGTAGAGGATCGCTTTGTCTTCTTTGAGTGCAAGGCAGTGTCACAAATGTAAAGGTAACAAACTCTCCCCTACCTCCTCCAAGCCAGACCACCCCCGTCCTGCTTCAACTTAGGAAAAAAAAAAAAAACAGTTCTAAAAAGTGTAACTACCCCTGCCTTCTGGCCTCTGGATTCTTCAGTTTGCAGCTGAGACAGCAGTTCCTGTCTTGATTCCAGGTTTCCAAAGGGCTTCCCATACTTTTCCCCTCCTCTGGGGTGGAATCTGACCTGAAGTCCACCTGCAGTTCTGATTTCCATTTCTTCCCATTTCCTTTCTCGGGCTGAGTCCAAGGAAAGTAAAGGATGGCGACAGCGTTGCTTATTCCACAGGCCCCGCAGTTCTGAGGGCCGATGTGCGTGGCTATCTTTTAGACTATCTTTGCCCCTCCCTTCAATCCCCAAAATGCTCACTCCTTTCCATCCCGTCTTTTTTCCCCTCTGGGTTTCAGCGTTTCCCCACTTGGTTCTCTCTCTCCAAATGGAGGCTGTGTGCAGGGCGGGACAGCTTAGGAGTTGGCGGGGCTGTCTCAGATTTATTTGGTCCTCTTACATTGATTTCATATTAGTTTCCAAAGCGATGAATGATCTCAAAGCTGGGTTTTGTTAGGGGAACACAAACAGGAGACAGAACTTACTTGCCCCCAGCTCCCTTTAATGAGGTCATTATCAAAGCGTGAACAAGTCTATGAATGTTTTATTGAAAGCGCATCGTTAACTTGTATCCATCCTTTTCTCCGAGTGGCATTGTGATATTGCTGTCTGTGGCACATCTTACCCGATATAGCCCGAGATTTCCCCATTCTCTGTAACCAGGCAACCCTTTCTGAATACCCCAAAATTGAAAAGAACCGCTTAGTCTTCAAGAAAGTCCTCAATAATAGTGGAAAAGAACAAAGATCCAGGAGACAACAAAATGCCACAGGGGTGACTTTTCATGAGCAATTATCTCTCATTAATCAGAAGAACAGCTGCAATATTAATTTTCTCTCTTTCTTCCTCTCTTTTCACAGTCCCCAACATTTGAATAATCATAAATTTTGATTTTATGAAGGAGTCACATTTTCAGGGACTCACAGGAAAACACCTACCTAGGTGAAGAAGAGAAAATGCTCTCATTTTATTTTATTTTTTTGTTTGGGTAAAGCTGCCAACAAAGCAAAATGGAAAAAGAATTAAAATGAGAAATGCCAGAGAAAATGCCCCCCTCCTACGGCTGCTGAGAATCAGGGCTGCTTTTTCCTCTACCCCCTCCTCTCAACCAGCCCTGCCCTTCCTCCCTCCCTGGCCCATTCCCGAGCTCTGCTCCGGACAGGGCGGAGGGAAATGTCCCCGGTGTCTGGCGTGGGAGTTTCAGCCCTGCTTCTGGCCGTTTCACTTGCAAACGTGAAGCCAAGCGTTGTGATCTGACCAAAGACACACTCTCTGGGCGTAACTTGCATTGTGACCATCAAAAGCCCGCCAGCCCTGGATGAACTGAGACGTGCATTCAACAGAATCGGGGCGCTCGCTTTCCTTTCAGGCTCTGGAGAGGCGATTGTTCAGGGGACGTGTAGCCAGATTGGAAAACGTGGGTCCCCAGATAACGCTGTAACCTGCAAGCCAGCTTGGAAGAGTAAAAAGAATCTCATTAAAGCTCAGGCTGCAATTAGCAAGCACACGCTCATAGAGAAACCAAGTCCTCTTGAAAAGAGGGCAGTTAGCCCCAACATTCCTGCACCAACTGAGCAATGGGGCACTCAAGCACCCGCCGGCCGCTGCTGGTCAGCCGCCCCAGGACTGCTGCTGCTTTTGATGCAGATTCCATCATAGCCTTCCAGGGATAACGCTGCAGCCCGTGCTTATGCACCACCCAAAATGATCTTGCTTCTGCCTAGTGTTTATTCAGAGCGGATGGTCCTTTGAGAAACCTGAATTCGCCTTTGTGTTCACCATAGTTTCAAGAGTTCAATTCAGCCCTGGGAGGGGGGGGGGTTCTTCTAAGAAAGGAGTGAGGGGTTTGGCTCAGAATTTCAAGGAAAGCCCAGTCTCCCAGTCTCTTGGCCCTCCGAGTAGAATTTCGATGGCACAGAATGCTCACCATAGAGTCTCTCTGTTCCCCACTTCACCTCAATTATTTGCCCACCCCCAGATCCTCCAGCCTAACCAGCCAAACCTCTCCCACCCTCGAAACACTCCTCTGTCATCACAATAAAATTTATTGGGTACCTACTCTGTGCTCTGTGTGCGCTCAGCGCCACGGGGAGCCAGTCTGAAAAGGCCAAGACAGTATCCAATAGAATATTGTTTCATTTCAGCAACAATGGCCTGAGGTGGGAACAATTATCCAGATAATTGAAGCAAATGCCCTATCTCCCTCCTCCTCTCTCTAGTTCCTCTGGTACTCACCATTTTTTTATTCCTCTTTTCAGGGATGGTGTTTTTTGCATGAGGGGGAAGAAGAAGGGAAGAAAAGGTTGGAGTTATTCACAGCTTAGAATTCCCTACTTCCCTTGGCCTAAATATGATGCACGCATTGGGCAGGAATAGCTGCTTAATCAGAGATTAAGACCGGTTTTGTTTTTAGTTTTACCAAAACGCAAGTAAGCCTTAAGCAATTTTAGCATCCAGCTTTTCTGGTTTCCAACCTTGGTCATCTACAAAAATTACCTAGAAGGCTTTATAAATACTGTATGCCAATCAATACTCTAGAGATTTTGATTTAATGATGTGAGGACCGAATAATTAAGGACTGATAACTGATAAATCTTCCCTACCACTGCCCCTTGTCCCGGAACCTGAAAGGATTAATTTAACCTCTGGAGGCTCAGCCAGACATTTGATAGTTGGAAGGGTGTATTAAGCGCCTACTGCACACCAGGGTCTGTGCCAGGGAATTCCCTAGCATAAGACCAGCCCCCGGGAGTTTCCAGGATGTTAAAAGAATCAACAAATCAGTTTGGAGCTGGTGAGTTTTTACAAAAGGTCGTGGGAACATGAAAGAAAAGCCCAAGGGGCTCTGGGAGTTGATAAAACAGAAGCCACCAGGGACATTTAAAGAGAGATCTACAGGATGAGCAAGTGTTGGTGTTGGAAAGAGGGATGGGGACTGTGTTTTGGGCCACTGAAGGGCATGCACAAGAACCCAGAGGAGTTTCTCTTGGTTAACTGCAAGAACTGAAAGGAGGCCAAGGAGAATGGAAGGAGAATTTCAGTTTCTGTGTCTGTGAAATAGGAAAAAAGTCCACTGTGAATAAAGACTACCACAGGGTCTGGTGCCTGTTGCCTGGTAAGAGCTTCTGATGTCTTTAATATTATTGTTGTTGCTGTTGTTAGAGACCTGCAGTTGCACGGGCTCTTCATTTTTTGCAGTGGAGGTATCACAGCCTCTGGGCTTGGCAATGGGACACCTGGGAGCTGGAGTTGTTATTCCATTATTTCTGGGTCCCTGGGCACTCTTACAGGCTGACTTTTTGCAGCTCAGTGGCTCCTGCATAGCCAGTGCCTGCACCCTGAAGGCACCCAGCGCATGAATTCTTTTGCCTTTGGCTTC